TGGCCGGCACCTCCCTCCCGCCGGGGGGCAGCCAGGCCTGCCCCCCACCTCCGCCCCCCGGGGTATCTCCATCCCCCCGGGGTATCCCCCCACCTCCGCCCCCCGGGGTATCTCCATCCCCCCGGGGTATCTCCATCCCCCCGTGGGTTTTGGGGCTCCTCTGCCGTCAGCCCTCGGCCTGGACCAAGGTCTGTCTTGGTGGAACCAGGCTGTAGCTAACGCGGCTCAGCACCCCCGAGAAACCGCTTTCGAGCTGGAGATCCTGTGGAAAGGGAAACGAAACCTCTTACGCAATTCTCGCCCGGTTCCTGCAGGGACCTGACGCCCGGTTTTGTAGGGGACCAGCTGGTTTGCAGTGAAACGACAGATGTGATAAACCTACCTCCTTCCGCGGCGAGCGTGGGCGCGAGTGGGTTCTGGCTTGCGCTGCTTCGATACCGTTCGTGAAGGGAGAAAAGCAAATGAGCTCCATGACGTGTTATGGGGGTATTAAAATAGGTCGGTGGCGTTGTCTGGGATGTGAGAGGCAGCTCAGTCGTCGTTTCCTCTTTCTCCAGAGCTGCAGAGTGGCAGTTGGCCCAGCCGGCGTGGAGCGGCAGGCTGCGGATCACGGCCAAGGGCAAGATCGCGTTCATTAAGCTGGAAGACAAGACTTCGGGTAAGGAGGAGGGAAGGCGATGGCTCCGCGCCTCTTCGTGGGGAAGAGGATGACGGAGAGATGTTATGCCCCGGCATTAACCCATTCCCACTTCTCTTTTTTCAGGAGAACTTTTTGCCCAGGCGCCGGTGGAGCAGTTCCCTGGCATCGCTGTGGAGAGTGTGACGGACTCCAGCAGATACTTTGTCATCCGGATTGAAGATGGGAATGGTACGTCGCGATACGTGGGGGACAGGTTGGGGGAATCGCCTCAGAAAGTCTTCAGTGCACTCCCTGTTCTTATTTGGGAAGGATTCTTGCTTTCAGGGGCTAAATATTCCCTGCGTGTGGTGGGATGAATTATCTCACTCCCATGTGCCAGCCGTGCTCTGTCCTTCCCAGGAATAAAAACAGTTTGATTTTACTTCTCGACGTTCGCGTGTGGACACCTCTGTATGAAAAATCGTCACCGTGGTGCCAACCTCTGCTTTGACTCGCTTATATTAATTTAAAAGCTGGTTTTACTAAGCCTGTGTGTGCAACCGACAGGCAAAAGAGATCTCCAGGCCCCTATCTCGGCCCACGGAGTCCCAGCTCCAGCTGGAGGAGGCGGCGGGCACGGGAGTGTGTGGGACAGGGTATCCCCTCCCTCTTCCTCCGCTGCGTCGCGATTCCAGCCCTTACTCTTCCTCCTTCCCCAGGCCGCCGAGCTTTCATCGGAGTCGGCTTTGTCGACCGAGGGGATGCTTTTGACTTCAACGTGGCTCTCCAAGACCATTTTAAGTGAGTTTGGGCCTCTCCCTGTGTCCCCTTCCCTCAACTTTTTTGGCGGGTGTCTGCGGAAGAAAAAGGCGAGCGGAAGAGGAAGCTGCGAGCTCCTGTTGCGCTTGAGTGAGCAAGCGTGGTGTAAAGAGGTGGAAACGCCAGTTCCTCTGCGCAGCCTTTGTGCAGGCAGCTCTCCCTCTCTCAAATATTTCCCAGCGGGCTCCCAAACTGGGCTTCCAAGTCCAAAACTGGGCACATTCCCTAATTCCTTTCCTTCTTTTCACGTGCTGCCGGTAAGGGGCTGCTCCTGAGGGACTGGGACGCCGCTCCAGCTGCTGGTGGATAGTGGGGCTTTGGGGCAGGATGGGATGTGCTGCCGGCCGGAGGATCCATCCGGCTCGAGCACTGGGAAGCCGCTGGTAGGAATCATTCCCCCGGCGCTGCCCGTAGCATGTCGTATCCAGCGCCTTTAAAGAGCTGCTGCCGGGCAGGAGGGGGATGATCTTGGGCAGGATTTGTCCGGGAGAGCCTCAGGCACGTTGTTGACATGTCTTTTTCTGCTTGTTTAATTCCTGCAGGTGGGTGAGGCAGCAGAGCGAGCTGGCCAAACAGGCCGAGAACCCCGAGCAGGGACCCAAACTGGATCTGGGCTTCAAGGAAGGGCAAACCATCAAACTCAACATTGCGGTGAGGGACTTTTCCAGCTAAATCCGCTCCCGATATTTCCTTTGAAGCAGCGGCTTCTCCCCGAAATCCCCGCGCAGGGGGACGCCCGCTGCAAAGATCTTTGTGATAACGCCGCATGCGGTGATTTGCAGGGGTGGTGTGTTTAGAGTTCCCAGTTACAGATCCAGGTCTGGGGGTTCGTGGTGGGGGTTTGCAGGTAAAAAACATCCTTGTTCTGACACCTCTTGCTCCTCCGGCAGGGGGATGTTGCAGCACAGCAGGGTTTTTCCCCAGAATAAAGCAATTTGGCTTCGTGCAAGCCACGGCTGGGAGAAATCACGCTCCGCTTCTGGATTTAACCGTGGTACCACCCAAGTTTCCCTCTCTTCTTTCAGAATATGAAGAAAAAGGAAGGAGCAATGGGGAATACCAGACCACGTCCTGCGGGTCCTGGGGGTCTGAGCTTGCTCCCACCACCTCCCGGAGGAAAATCTTCCGCTCCGGTTTGTCCTTCCGGAGAGCGGCCGCCTTCGCTCTCCACGCCTGCCCAGCTCCCGGGCACCCCCATCACAGGTCCGTGGTGACACGGCGATGACTAAAGCTCTTTAGATTCAGTTTTATCTGTCAAAGTTGGGAAAACGGAGAGGGAATCTGGGAATAGGAGTGGGAAATAACTCTTGACGTTTGTTTTCTCTCTTCCCGACTTCCCTGCCCGCCGACAGACTCCCTCTGCTCCTGGCCGCAGCCCGCTGCTGCTCCTTCTGCCACCGCTGCCGACGTCTGGGGAGACCTTTCCCCCAAAGCTTCGGGGTGAGGCTGCGCGGGGTTTGCGTCTGGCGTGGGCGACCCCCACAGCGTTAAAAAAAAAAAAAAACCCAAACCAACCCACCATCTGAACCAAATCCTCCCGGTTTTGCTGAAAACCCCTGCTAGGGGTGGGGGCACCGCTTCATCCAAAAACCCCTTTGGGATTTAAAAGCGGCTCTGACAGCGCGTGTCGCAGGTTCCCCCTGTTCGGTGCGGGCCTGGGGGCGCTGCCGTCCTCTTCCTCCCAGCGCCGGTGGCACGTCCCGTCTTCCCCCACTGATCTCTGCAGCGGGGAGAGTTTTCGGGCCACCCCGGAGGACCCATTTCTGCCTGTCCGGCTCCCTCCCTGCGTGCCACAGTCCCTTTTAGGGTCTAAAACCTCGTTTTCTCCCCTCTTTTTCTCTCTTTCCAGGTCAGCTTCTAATCAGACTCCGGCGAACGCCGGCTGGGTTCAGTTCTGACCCCACCTCCTCGTCCACTCTTCCCCACGCGGGTGCTGGGATCATTGCGATTCCTTCAGGACCAAAGCAGGGACTTCGGGACACCCCGCTCCTGCCCTTCGATATCCCCCCCTCTCCCCTCGGCATCGAAATGCCGAAATAAATGCCGGGGAGCAAACGAACGCGTGCCTTAAAACACTCCGCACCAGCGCCCTCCGCGTTGGGGGCCTTTTCTTTTCCACCTGGATCGCAGCAAACCTCTGAGGCTTCTCCTTTCTGCCAAAAAAAAAGCCGTCAGCTTCGTCACCTCTCCTTAAGAACGAGAGGGCGAGCGAGTGCTCAGAGCAGGGGGACTCTCGCTCGCGGCGTTGCCCCAATTAAAGTCGTTTTAGCCGCCTCGGAGACTTCTCCGCTTTCTCCTCGCGTATTTGGGCTGGATAAATCCTTCCCGCGGTGGGGAGCGTCCTCCTGGAGACATCTCACCTGCAAAAGTCCAGACAAGACACCGAACGTCACCCCAATTTTTTTCCCAGCGCTTAACTTGGCGCTGCGGGAGGCGGGGAGCCGGACTGCTGCGTTTTGATGCTGGAATTCTTCATTTCTTGCTCCGAGAAGATTATTTTGGGTTTTCACACCTCTATTTTTGAAGAGAGATTTTTTTTACTTCTTTCTGCGGACGTTTTCTGAAGCGATACATGCGATGAAGGACAAGAATGGAGTCGGTCTCTTTGACAGAGCTGGGGTTGAGATTCCACTTTAAACAAATAAATATTTTCTTACCTATTTATATTAAGGCCTTTCAGTGTACGAAGGTCCTGCTTGTTGCGTGTTTTTTATTATTTTAACTTCTTTCCATTTCCAACAGGATGCCGAGCGTTTCGGGTTCGGAGCTTAACTTTGCCTGGCAGCGAGCGTGCCAACCCAGGGGAGAGATGTAGCGCTTCAAAGCGAATAATAAAATGGTTCTGAAGCCAAATAGGGATTTTTTTTTTTATTTTTTTTTACCGCTCGGAGGGGCTGCGATGAGCTTTTGCGGTTCCCCCTCCCTGGCTGGTGGCGAGGAGACTGTCTGGGACAGCGAAGCACAACACACGCTTGTTGCTTAGCAGTGGTTTTATGGTTGTGAAGGACTCCGGGAGGAGAAGGTAAGGAAAGAAATGAGCGGAGGGGGGGAAAAAAAAGAAGGTTTTTTGCATCCCCAAAGGGAGGAGGGGAGCCTCGAGGCAAACTCCCGCTGGCCGGAGGGATCTGAGGTGCTGTAAATCCTCAATCCTGTGGCTTTCGGGGAGGAGAAAAAGGCACTTTCCCCGGGAAGAGAGCGGCCGGGAGACGCCGAACCTCTCCGGAGAGCGGCTCGGGGTGGGATGCGGGATTGATTTTGGGAGCGGGGATGCCTCCAGCCCCCAGCACGGGGCATTTTGAGCTCGGGTTGGGGTTTTTTTTTTTAGCTTTCCCTGCTGGGGTGGGGGCAGAAAGTCTTTTAATTACCCTCAAGGGGGTAAAATCTGCTGCCCCGGGGTGGCTGCGGCATGGGGGGGGGGACGTGTCCCCAAGGCCGGAGGAGGGGGGGATTTAATGCCGCTTTGCCCCCGTAGCAACCCTGGCACGCTCCACCCCGAAGCTTTTCCTGCCAGAGCAAACCCTTGGGCTCTAATGAGCTTAACGAGGGCCGGGATTTAACGAAAGGGCTGGCTTACTCTTCCCCAAGGAGCTCCTTTCCCCGGTGGGAGCCAGCACCATCCTGCCTGGCGGGGGACAGCGCCGCGAAGTAAGAACATTTCCAGCGATTTTGGGTACGGGGAAGCGCCGGGCGCTGCTATTTTTGGGTATATTTTCCTTGTTTTTCCTCGTTTCCCTCTGGCCGAGAGCCTCGTCGGTTGGTTTTCGGTACAAAGAACCGCTTGGCTGGGGTTGGGGGAGGGAAATCTTTGGGGATATTTTTTTTGGGG